TCGGCCCATCTAGTCTGCCCAATTTTCAAAATACTTTCATTAGTCCCTAGCCTTATCTTATAGTTAGGATAGCCTTATGCCTATCCCACGCATGCTTAAACTCCTTTACTGTGTTAACCTCTACCACTTCAGCTGGAAGGCTATTCCATGCATCCACTACCCTCTCAGTAAAGTAATACTTCCTGATATTATTTTTAAACCTTTGTCCCTCTAATTTAAGTCTATGTCCTCTTGTTGTGGTAGGTTTTCTTCTTTTAAATATAGTCTCCTCCTTTACTTTGTTGATTCCCTTTATATATTTAAATGTTTCTATCATATCCCCCCTGTCTCGTCTTTCCTCCAAGCTATACATGTTAAGATCCTTTAGCCTTTCCTGGTAAGTTTTATCCCGCAATCCATGAACCAGTTTAGTAGCCCTTCTCTGAACCCTCTCTAAGGTATCAATATCCTTCTGAAGATACGGTCTCCAGTACTGTGTACAATACTCCAAGTGAGGTCTCACCAGTGTTCTGTACAATGGCATGAGCACTTCCCTCTTTCTACTGCTAATACCTCTCCCTATACAACCAAGCATTCTGCTACATTTCCTGCTGCTCTATTACATTGTCTGCCTACCTTTAAGTCACCAGAAATAATCACCCCTAAATCCCTTTCCTCATATGTTGAGGTTAGGACTCTATCAAATATTCTGTACTCTGCCCTTGTGTTTTTACGTCCAAGATGTATTATCTTGCACTTATCCACATTAAATGTCAGTTGCCACAATTCTGACCATTTTTCTAGTTTACCTAAATCATTTGCCATTTGGCTTATCCCTCCTGGAACATCAACCCTGTTACATATCTTAGTATCATCAGCAAAAAGACATACCTTACCATCAAGACCTTCTGCAATATCACTAATAAAAATATTAAAGAGAATGGTGAGACTGGTGAGAAGTCAAGCTTCGAATATATTCCATTAACTACAACCCTCTGTTGCCTGTCACTCAGCCACTGCCTTACCCATTCAACAATATTGGAATCCAAACTTAAATGAATCCAAACTCCAAACTTATATTTTACCAGTTCGCCAGGGCGTCACTCAAAGTGCTTCCTCTCACATTCAGAGCCAAGCTATGTCCCCTTAAACAATAGATTTATCAAAGTAAAAAAAAAAAATCAGTGCTCAAATAAAATATGTTTCAATTTCATAAGGGCCCAAAAATGTATGGTTATATACTCTCCATGTAAGTTAAAACATACAGGGTTGCTGGAGATTAGAGACAGATAAATAATTTTCAATAGAAAATGTTGCACTTATAACCAATTTGATGTCGCATAAGAATTGAAGGGGACATTCCTTCCTAATAAACAATGGAAACAAGCACAGTTTCCCTGCAATACTCTTTCGTGTTGCCCATTTTGTGACCCCAGCTAAAATAATTTTTTTCCCATTTACTTGTTATTTCTACATTTGTCTACATCTGAAAGTACACTTATTCCTCAACAGTTTTTATATTGTTTTGCTCTTATTAACTGTCTGGATAGTTTGCCTCTTTCTAAAACTTTTTAACTCCAAGTCAATTCCAGAGTAACTTGACCTTGGCTGCTCTTTTTTAGGTGGTTTTACAATCTTTCACATTTCTTACTGTTAAAGTTTATTCGGAGGAAAGTCAAAAGTATATCTTTATTCACTTCTCAAGACATGACAGAATCCAAATAATAAATAAAGGAACCAATGGCACACTTACATACATTTAGCATGCCTGGTACATTAACATATTAAAGCATTACTGAATACAATGCAAAATACGTATGTCAATTAAACTGTCAGAGAGATAAAATATGTAATCCACAGTCCACAAATAGCAAAATTGTAAAAGAAATGGGTATCCATAAAAATAAAAAGCTAAAACAAAAATTAAATGGGAAATAAAAAATGCCCCAAAGAAAAAAAAGAAAAAAGGTATATACAAAAAAAAAGGGAACAATTGTGGGAGAAAAGGAACCAAATCCCCAAAATGTAAGGTCTTTTTAAAAAATATACAAGGCCTAATGGGTGGGAGGCATAAAAATACAATATCCTAAGACAAAATAAGTAAAAGAAAAAGGCTATATGAAATACATTGAAATAGCAAAAACTTATAAGCTTGTTATCTAGAAAGACAAATCTGCGGAGACATGCGGTAACAACCAGCAGAATGGATAAAAACATAATAAGTATATTATATCATAAAGTAATATACATCAAGACTCCAAATCAGGTAACACCTTAAAATGCTAGACTTTGTGAACCCAAAGGGCTTCATTATACCAACATCTGAAACAGTCCAAATCCAGACCCTGCTCCAGAGACATTCCGGAGTATGTATTTTCTCTAATGTCTAACGAGTAACTTGGCAGGAAACCCCCCACTGATATCTCACATTCTTAGAGTGCAGTGCTGGTGTATTCATCATAATATTCTTCCTGTTATTCAAAGTAATTGGAGACAAGTCTTGGAAAAATGGTAGATCTTTAAAAGCATCTGATAAATCCAACTTCTTCCAAATTTGAGCCAAGAATTTATATTTAATGTGTAATTTATTGAACCTTACATGGGTATGTCTAGGTGCTGTCGGAGAAACCAACTCTGGTTTATGAATTCTGTCACATCTTTCAATAAATAACTCTGGCTGCAAAGCATTTGGTGAGGCCATTTAAACCAAACTAAATGTGATTAGTTCCTACTTTTGGTGAAATCTTTTCAAAAATCCCACTAATATGAATATTTTTCATTCTACTGTGATCTTCCAATTCTGTATTTGTGTCAGCCAGTGCCTGGATATGCAGCCCAAATGTGCACATCTCCTGTTTCAACTTTTGAACCTGGGACAGCCAAATTTCAGACATCTTATTCTTTACCGAGGCCTCAATACAGTGTATATGTTAGTAGATTAACTGAATAACTGCTGATATTAACAAAGACATTTTGCACCTTTTTAGTTTAGGACATAAAGTTACAAGCATTTACAGATACCTATGACAAGTGTTACCAGATATTACCCACAGGAGGGCTTAAAATGTCCTCTTTCTTCATTAGAACTAGGCTGTATAACTGCTCAGTGATAACCTGTGAGTATGCATGATTAGAGGAACACTGTATCATATTCCTACAGTTGTTGTTCCCCTGTACCTAGCTCTACATAGGTGTCCCCACCCAGCTTGGAATATACATTTTAAAAAAAATCTGTCACCTAAGTTTTTCCAGCACCAAGGCTCTCTCGGCTCTGGTTACCTCTCTTCCTTCCACAATGACACAGAAAAGGCATGGCTTCCTCAGCGATGGTCCAATCCAAAACTCTTCATAGAGGAAAATATGGGACTTAATGTGCATGTGCAGCCATCTCTGCATTTTCATTCCTCATTGAATCAGTGCTTTCCTATGATGACTTATGTATCATGTGACCAAGTTTACTCAGTCAATGCAGCAGAAGTTCCTGTAGTTGCCATCATACCGACATCCACAAGAGTGGACTTAACCCTGCAATGTACTGCATCCAGACCACTTTATTGAGATTAAGTGCCTATAGTGTCTCTTTCAGTTTGATGCCAAATCTTTGCAACTTTTGTTACCTACACTACAGTAAAGCTGACATTTTCATAAGACAGTCGGGCACCCTCCATTTCTTGGATTTTGATGTCTTCTCAACAAACTATCATATTTCTCCTCCCTGCAAAGCTGAGATGCGAAAATAATGACAGTGAGCATGCGTTGGTCCAAACATCTATATTAATCAAATCTGCGAATTACAAAACCCAGGCATTCTAACAGCTACTGCCCAACAATTGTTTTGCTTGTGCAAGGAAAAAACAGATTTTTGTTTATTTCTTTAGAATAGAAGTTAACAGAAAAAAAATTATTTGATGATCTCCCATGCTTAACATATCACACGTTATTGTATTAACGATTCATTTTCTTAAATCAACTCAAAATATGAATATATTTTTCTTATCACGCAAAAGCTATTGTAAGGACTATATATATATATAACAAATGCACCATCAGTCTTAATATAGTAAATATTAAGTACGTGCTTCTAAGCTATAGTTGTCTAGCCATTCATGCATTTCTCCAGTGTTTGTGCTGCTGTGTGCATACTGTAGCATTTATCTCCCTGTGGGTTTATCTGAAAGAAATCTCTTCATTGAGAGCTGCATAAATCAACCGCTGCCCATACCAAGCTTACAGAAATATTGTTCCATCTGGATATTAAAGTAACTTGTTTGCAGCCCCTGGGACTTTTTGATCGATCATTTGGCTTACCGAAAGCTTCCAGAATCCTGTAAATTCCATCTTTATCCTCATGCAATAATATAATTTTCCTCCTATGAAATATTTTTATGATGACACTCTAGATATTGTTTCATCTTTAGTAATATTGGAGGAAGTGGAACTATTACTCAAAATAAACATGTCTGTAAAATTCTGTGCTAAAAGAAAAGATTGGCTCCCATGGGCTGAATTCAATCCAAGGTGAGTCCATGTTGCTTTAAATTACAATGACAGATCATTGAAGGACACATCTAAAATAAACACCAAACATGGACAGGTGATCTTACATTCAATTGCCACCTATTGGCGCTTACAACATAGTATCTTCTCTAAGCATTCTCTAAGGCTTCAGGATTGCACAAAGTAAACATAAATAATAAAAAGTTTAGATCAGGGGTGCCCAAAAGGTAGATCCCCAGATGTTTTAAAACTACAGCTTCCATGATGCTTTGTCATTCTAAAGCATTCTAAGGGCATTCAAAGCATCATGGGAGTCGTAGTTCTCCAACATCTGGGTAACTACCTTTTGGGCACCTGTGTTTTAGATGGATAATGTTTTAGTTCAATAAAAGGGAAACGCTATGTCTGAAAATGCATATTTTAATGCATGTAATTAACAACATCTGGAGATCTACCAGATTTTGTTATATCAAAGCGTAGGCTTAAGTTAGAATATAGAGGGGGGGGCCTGACTGTCATGGTGGATGGATGCATTCTCAGTGAGCTCCTCCACTATCCCACCGAAAATCACCTATAACAGCTCCACTGGTTTAGAGCATGGCTACCAGAGTGCATTTGTTCCCCTGACCCACCTGGCACATGGGGCATCCACCACTTTTGTACCCGAAGCTTGTACACCCCACTGTGACAAATGCGGCCTATGGCAGGTCGAGCTGGATATGCGGCCGATCTACGACCTCGGACATGCTCAGAAGACACAAGCCCAAACCTGGATCGGCGGGGGAGATCCTGGTCCACGCACAAAGGCCACTGGGACTAGGGGCACCATCGGAGATAATACCCATAAGCAGGAAATATGCACCTCAAGTCACCCAAAATGGCAGAAATCGCAAGTCTAACTCCACCATGTGCTACACAACTCACGCTAGAAGCCAGGCTAAATGTAATATTTCCAAAAGAGGATAAATGATGGTAATAAATGGCTGAAACCACTTACATGTACTGGAGCCTATGTAATATTGGCTCTGTAAATAGATCCTTTATGCTTTTAGGGCAGCAAACGCACCCCTTTATAACAAGCGGTATTCCCCAGGGATATGGAACAGAAAAAAGGGGAGACAGGCTGGCTGTGTGGTATTGTATAGAATGTTGTTATAATATAGGTGGTAATGGTTGTGCTCACCTTTGACAGAGCCTCTGAACTCCCAGCTCTGAGGTTGATGGACAATGTGCTAGTTTTTGTGGGGTAGCACTCCCCAATTAAGGTTCCTGGTGGCTAGGAAGGACTTGTTGGACTAAAATATAAAGTATTAAAAGTAATTTATTAAAAATAAGTTAAGACAAAGATAATACTTCATCTAAAAAAATAAAAAAAGTGTTTCACTCACTATCCCTGTAGATAAGAGATAACTACTTTCTGTGCCTCAATGTAATATTTACCAACTTCTGGAGGCGGCTGCAACATAGAGCCAGTGAGCACCAGCAGCTGCACATAAACCCAGACACTGCCCCCGAGCCAGCCCCAACCCAGCCATCTCGGAAACTCCTGCAGCATCCTTGGCACCAAAACTCAGCTCTGAACCCGTGACTAAGCAATTGGCATCAGAGGTGTCCACGGAACAGCAAAGCAAACAAATAAAAGCTCAATACAAAACACAACTCACCACTAACACAGCTCAAACAAGGACTGATATGGCGATTTCTCGAGTGGCTGGCTTCCTGGGGAGGCTCTGGAGACCGAGGGTAGGAGCACCCCAATATTCCTCCACAAAGATACACCAGCCTATGTCTGGATCCCTGTGCCTGATATTGTTTCCGCAGAACCAACACTCCATTGAGCCACTAAGTGGCATTGGCTGACTCATGACCGGGACTTTCACTGGCAGTTGCAAATCCTCCTGTCAGCTTTCTCCACAGCCTGACTCAGAATGTACTAATGTTTAATCTCTTGTTCGTCCCCTTTGAATACCCTAACGTTAATTGAGCCTTTCATACCTGTAAGACTTCACACCTTAGTTATCACCAGGGGGCCTCCTGGGTTTTCCAGTCCTCTCACTCACTGTGTCCTCATTGGCAGCTGTTCCCAGAACTATATAGAATGCTTAGTTTAGATGTGTGTACCGCAGCTAGCCTACTAGAAAAACAATAATATAAAATCTATGCATTTGCTCTGCAAGCCATGTTGAAATCTTGTGATGCCTGTTTTTCCTTCGCTTGTCTCACTACTGTAGATCATACTAAAACTGCTTGTGTACAATGTGGAACATGAGCAACACAAGCGCCAAGCTACTGATACACGCATATTCTCACATAATACTCCTATTTCAAGCTATCCTTAAATGCAGACATGTTAGTTTGCACACTCTGATCTACCTACTACTAACACCACCTGTCTACTCATTAGTTATCTCATGTCATAATGTAAAAAATGTGCAGTGCCTACAATTGCCATATTACTATCTCAAACTATATAACAATATGTTGATTGTTAAAGGACCACTATAGTGCCAGAAAAACATACTCGTTTTCCTGGCACTATAGTGCCCTGAGGGTGCCCCCACTTGGCTCTGGGGAGAGGAAAGGGTTAAAACTTACCTTTTTTCCAGTGCCGGGTGGGGAGCTCTCCTCCTCCTCTCCGCCTCCGATCCTCCCTTTCGGCTGAATGTGCACGCGCGGCAAGAGCTGCGTATGCATTCAGCCGGTCTCATAGGAAAGCATTCATAATGCTTTCCTATGGACGCTTGCGTGTTCTCACTGTGATTTTCACAGTGAGAATCATGCAAGCGCCTCTAGCGGCTGTCAATGAGACAGCCACTAGAGGATTTGGAGGCTGGATTAACCCTAACATAAACATAGCAGTTTCAGTTTCAGTGTTAAATTAACAGCAAGGGTTAATTTAACACTAATGAGAACAGACCGAACAAGTATATAAAGAAGATTGCAGACTCTAAGATGCCATCCTCTGATGAAGTGATCGGAAATCACGAAACGCGTAAGGCGGCATCTGCATACTAACACACATCAGTCCCGAGAGTGAGCACTTCTGACACGCATCCTGAGCCGCAGTGGAACGCATGTGGCTAGAAACCAGCGGTACACAGCACGAGGAAAATCCCATTCACTTCTGTCCGGCCGGCAAGAAAGTGATTTCAATATCCCTTGGGCTCGAGGTCTGTTATACCTGGTACTGGTGCTGTTTTTATCTGCTACTCTTTTTTAGGACTTTTATTGAAAGCTACATATATTTGTAGCATTTTTTGTCACTTATTAATAAACTTTGAAAAGTATTTGTCTGCTGCATTAGATTTTAACCCTTTGAGGGATTTAGTTTATTTTATCAATTTATTCAGTTCTGTATATTGGATTCATAATTTATTGAAACCTATACTAGATTATTTTCAGCAGTTCATAGACTCTGCCTTCCTTATTTAATAGGAGGTGATGACATGACCAGCTGACACATTTGTATCTAAATAAGAGAGCAAGAACTAATTTTCATTTATTGTGAAGTGCTCTACAGGGAGTGCAGAATTATTAGGCAAATGAGTATTTTGACCACATCATCCTCTTTATGCATGTTGTCTTACTCCAAGCTGTATAGGCTCGAAAGCCTACTACCAATTAAGCATATTAGGTGATGTGCATCTCTGTAATGAGAAGGGGTGTGGTCTAATGACATCAACACCCTATATCAGGTGTACATAATTATTAGGCAACTTCCTTTCCTTTGGCAAAATGGGTCAAAAGAAGGACTTGACAGGCTCAGAAAAGTCAAAAATAGTGAGATATCTTGCAGAGGGATGCAGCACTCTTAAAATTACAAAGCTTCTGAAGCGTGATCATCGAACAATCAAGCGTTTCATTCAAAATAGTCAACAGGGTCGCAAGAAGCGTGTGGAAAAACCAAGGCGTAAAATAACTGCCCATGAACTGAGAAAAGTCAAGCGTGCAGCTGCCACAATGCCACTTGCCACCAGTTTGGCCATATTTCAGAGCTGCAACATCACTGGAGTGCCCAAAAGCACAAGGTGTGCAATACTCAGAGACATGGCCAAGGTAAGAAAGGCTGAAAGACGACCACCACTGAACAAGACACACAAGCTGAAACGTAAAGACTGGGCCAAGAAATATCTCAAGACTGATTTTTCTAAGGTTTTATGGACTGATGAAGTGAGAGTGAGTCTTGATGGGCCAGATGGATGGGCCCGTGGCTGGATTGGTAAAGGGCAGAGAGCTCCAGTCCGACTCAGACGCCAGCAAGGTGGAGGTGGAGTACTGGTTTGGGCTGGTATCATCAAAGATGAGCTTGTGGGGCCTTTCCGGGTTGAGGATGGAGTCAAGCTCAACTCCCAGTCCTACTGCCAGTTCCTGGAAGACACCTTCTTCAAGCAGTGGTACGGGAAGAAGTCTGCATCCTTCAAGAAAAACATGATTTTCATGCAGGACAATGCTCCATCACACTCGTCCAAGTACTCCACAGCGTGGCTGGCAAGAAAGGGTATAAAAGAAGAAAATCTAATGACATGGCCTCCTTGTTCACCTGATCTGAACCCCATTGAGAACCTGTGGTCCATCATCAAGTGTGAGATTTACAAGGAGGGAAAACAGTACACCTCTCTGAACAGTGTCTGGGAGGCTGTGGTTGCTGCTGCACGCAATGTTGATGGTGAACAGATCAAAACACTGACAGAATCCATGGATGGCAGGCTTTTGAGTGTCCTTGCAAAGAAAGGTGGCTATATTGGTCACTGATTTGTTTTTGTTTTGTTTTTGAATGTCAGAAATATATATTTGTGAATGTTGAGATGTTATATTGGTTTCACTGGTAATAATAAATAATTGAAATGGGTATATATTTGTTTTTTGTTAAGTTGCCTAATAATTATGCACAGTAATAGTCACCTGCACACACAGATATCCCCCTAACATAGCTATAACTAAAAACAAACTACAAACTACTTCCAAAAATATTCAGCTTTGATATTAATGAGTTTTTTGGGTTCATTGAGAACATGGTTGTTGTTCAATAATAAAATTAATCCTCAAAAATACAACTTGCCTAATAATTCTGCACTCCCTGTATATACATTCATTTCCACTGAATCCTGTATATATAATTGATTCATTTCAATTAGTGTTTTACATTTTTATTGCTTAACCCCTGGTGGTGGTTATTTTGTACTAGTGATACAGTGGTTATGGTAGCCATATCCAATCTTTATATTTATCCTTAGAAAGATATTCTACCATTTTGCTTGGTGCTTATCTATTACTAAGTTTTACCATATTGCTATCACTAATAGCCAGTCTGTTTCCAGAAATTATGTGTGAGGTCCCCAATTCACTTATGGGGGGAAAGGGCATTGGAATTTGGGGGGCTAGAGGAAGAAGCATACTAAGTGCTTCTCTCCATCCTGTCAACAGCCTCCCACATAGTGTCCACATCCCTCTCTTCCTCTCTTAATACAAAGAGAGATGATGCAAGTACTACTCATTCACTGAAAAACTAGAGTGCCAAAAATATATAATCTCCACTCAGCAGAGTCAGTTAACAAATTAGCTATTTATTTTTAATGCAGAATAAAAATGTAATTGGTTACTCGCACAGATCCTTTGTGCAAAGTGTAAGACACTGTGGCATACTTTTGGCCAAAATCCATAGTTTGCATTCTCAGAAAAATCTGTTACAACTATCTATTTGTTTGCAAGATGATTTTATATATATTCAACGGGGTATAAAGGGATCACCTAAAACAGTATATATATATAAAATCATCTCAACTAGGCAGAATTGCAAAGTAAAAGGCAGGGATCTCCATTTCATGCAAAAACAGACCAAGTGATAAGAAAATACATTTTACCACACCTTAGAGTGGTCAGGCTTAACAAAGCAGGAAAT